GGGGGGGTGAGGAGCCAGGGAGCAGCGGGGGGGTGACAGGTGAGTGCCACACAGTGCCCAGGATGGGAGGGTAGAGACCCCCCAGGGACAGCAGGACTAGGGAAGGGGGACACAACCTACCCGGGGTTTCACCAGCAGCTTCCCCGTGACAGTGAACATGGTGGAGAGGCCGAAGGGGGTGCACACTGTGGGGGGGAGAGAGGCTGGGTGGGGGGTGTCCCAGCACCCTACCCCTCCCTGCCCCCCCAAAAAGGGTCCTGGATGGGGACTGGGGGCTGAGCCCTGCACCATGACCCCTCTGGACCCCAGCACCTAGTGCATGGAGCAGCTCTTAGCTGGGCACCCCAGGGGACTCATACCTGGCCCAGGATGGGCCACCAGGACAATGTCCCCTGAGACCCCCTGACTTACACAGCAGAAGCAGGACACCAAAGAGTGAGATGCAGGAGTAGAGGTAGGGCAGGTAGAATTCCCAGAGGTCTGTGGAGAAGGCAGGATCAGGCCAGTGGCACCAGGCATCCCTTCTCCCCCTTGGGCACCAGGGCCTGCTCCCCCAAACCCCCCCAAGCCAGGACTGGGGAGTCCCAGTGCACCCACCATAGAGTGACTGGCGAGTGGCTGCGTTGTCCTCAAAGATGGCAGAGGCCACCCAGACCATGCCCAGCACCAGCAGGGTGAGCAGCAGCAGCACCACCGACGTCTCGTACACCCTGGCCATGATTCCCTGCAGGGGAGGGGTCAGCAAGGAGCCAGGTACGGGGTGGGGGGGATGGAGAGGGGTGACACCCACAGGGCCACCCACCTTCTTGGAGCCTGCAAAACCTTCTGATTCGGTGAAGAAGTAGGCAAAGGGCATGAGGAAGACGAGGGACAGATTGGACAAGAGGAAGACCAAGTTCCAGAGGCCTGGAGTGGGGAGGGAAACAGTGTGGGGTGAGTTCCAGAGGAGGGGGACAGCCCTGAGGGCATCCCAGGGGCCTCCCCCCCGTGCACCCACCGTGGATGAGGGACCCGTTCAGCCACTGGATGTAGTAGTTCTGGGGGAAGGAGAGCAGCACCTCGTTGCTGATGATGGAGAAGGGCAGCAGGAGGACGGCGCCCAGCGCCACGGCCAGGGTGAAGGTGCAGAGCCTCAACCTGCAGGAGGGCCCAGCAGAGGCTCCAGCACCAGCTCTGGGACCCTTAGGGGGGGGTCACAGCCCAGCCAGGCCCCCCCAGGGTCACCAGTCACCAGGGGTGGGGGAACCCGGGGTTCCGGACGGGCAGGAACTTACGCAATCCTGTTGACAGCAGCGTCCTCGTCATCCTGCACTGAAGAGAAGGGAGAAAAACCCAATCCAGGGGGGCTGGGGGAGGCAGAGCTGCCCAGACCATCACTGCCCCCAATCCAAATGCTGCAGAAACGCTCCCAGGTTCTGCTCCCCCACCCTGTGGCAGCCAGGAGGTGCCTCCCGGCCACCCGTGGGACCAGTGGAAAGTGATGGAGGAACAAGCCCCCCCGGGGGGGTGGGGGCTGGGGCTCCTTCCTACCTGCTGCAAAGTCCGTGTGCTTCTTGAAGTGGGTTATGATGAAGTGGCAGAGGATGTAGAGGCTGGCGAAGAGCAGGGCACAGATCTGCAGGCAGAGGAGTGTGGGCAGTGGGGGCAGGTCCTGAGGGCAGAGCTCCCACCCCGGGCAATACCTGGGGCCTTTCAACTCCACCCTATTTATTTTTCCACTCCAGGCCTTGGTTACACCCCAGATGTGTGCTCGGCCCTGCCCGTGCACGGGGGCTGCACCCATGGGTGAGTACAAGCACCCAGACCCACAGCACGGGGACAGCAGCTCTGGCTCAGCCTGTACTGGCAGAGCTGGAGGGATCGGGGTGTCCCAGATCCCACGGGACACACGTCGTGTCCTGTCCTAGCACCCCTGACTCCTCAGTCCTCCCTTCCTGGCACTGGTGCCCGGCAGAGCCCCGGGAACAGCCTTGAGCCAAGGCCACTGCCCTGTCCCTGCCCCCTCCCCTCCCTCCCTCCCGCCCCCGCG